CCCCCACCCCAGCAGTCTAGACGTTGTTTTGGAAAATGTGTCAAATATTTTTCTGAAAAATAAATTTTCCTATTTGTACCTGGCTTCTCAGTTTTCTGTGATGTATTATTTGTCAGTTTTGCACCACTGTGAAGACAAGCAGACCTTTGGTTTGGCAAATCCTGCATGAAACAAAAACAAACTTATGCCTTTTTCAATGAGCCAATAAAGAAACTACATAAAAAATGCTTACCTTCATAAAAATATTTTTAAATAGTAGACTTCAGTGCTGATAAAAACAGAATGAACATCATGTTGCTAAGATCCAGTTGCCTATCAATGTACTTTAGTCAACAAAAATAGATATTATACTGTATATAACATACAGATTGTACCATGGCACTCATTATGACAATCTCTTTATTTAGTGGGGGTGGAAAAAATGCATAAAGCCTACCTTAACTAATCTAATTAAACGCATGACCTTCAGAAGCAATAACACTGATGAAATACTTTAATTAACACAACCAAATAATTTTTAATCACCAACAGGCCAAAAGAGCCAACTTTGGTGAAAAACTTTGTATAAAGAGCATGCCGTGATTCCAGTTAACTCAAAGAAAACGTCTGTGGTTTCAGTACCATGCCAGCCTGTGAGGCTCAGTGGAGCCATAATGGAAACCACAGACAGAGCAGCAGATTGCCTGGACATGAGGATGACAGGCCTAGCACAAAGCAAGCTAAAATGCTCTGAAAGTTGGCCAAACTAAGTGCTGCCATTCTGTGCCGTGCGTTAAACTTTGAAACTTTGGTCTTTGTGCAAGTAAAAAGAGCAAGAAAAGGCCTCTGATACAAAATACACTTTATAATTTTGACAAACATTGCTGTGAAGAAGCAAACTAGCTTTGTTAGAGATGGTAAAACCCTTTTGGCTAGGGTTGTGTGAGTGCATGACAAGAAAAATCATCCCTTTACCACATCACAAACAAAATGAGTTGGTTCAGCTCTTTCAGAAGGAAGATTTGGTTTAAAAAAACACCAATCGCTAAAGACAGCCCCATTTGTCACTTCGTTGGCAGATAGTTACAGTTTAAAAAAAACACACGTGCATCAAAACATAGAACCAAGGTTTGAGGAGACGACTACGATTTACCTTATTTACAAACAGTCTAGGTTGTTCCTGTTTAGGACTAGAACAGGACTGAAAGAGATTTCCAAAAGCTTAAGAAGTAAACTATTGAGCACAAGCTTCATCAACAGCACAGTGCACACCACAAAGACAAATGTTTTTTTGATGACATCATGTAAGACACCGAGGGTTTATGACATAACTCTTGGATCGTAACGAAAGCTGGAGTTGTTTAAGTTTTGGGTTGATTTTTAAAGTGTTGATTGCTTTGTTTGTTTTCTATGTGTGGTTTATTTTAATTCAACCCAGATTCTGAATATAGCTTTGTAATAAAGAGCAGAAGTAGAGTTGATACAATAAAAAAAAATACTGATTTAAAAAAATGTCACTGAAAATGCGTTATTGTCCATGAAAGATCTGTTTTGGATCAGTAGTCTCCGTTTTTTGGATGGACATTGTTTACAATGTGTGCATACCTGCATTTCAGATTTGTATACCAATATAGTACCTGGAAAACTGTGGAGCAAACTCTTTAAAACTGCATTCATTGATAAGCTTTTTATGTTTGGTTTCGTACTTTGCAATGAGTAGCTATACCTTTGAAGCTAGAGTTTAAAGTTCGGTGGTTGTTCAGACTAAAACAAGGAAACAAGGGGCCTCATTAGAAACCATCACTCTAGCAATTATGTATGAGGTGAAAGAACCCAGTCAAGATTGAATTGATTAATTAATTGAGGGAAACGAACATCCATTCACGGACAATGAACATAAGTCTGCCGTCACATTCACTGTGCTGTCATGTGTAACCATTTGGTGTGTCATCAAGGCGCTCCAGTGGTACAATAACTCTAGGCTGAACACACAGAGGGGAATGTCTGTCTCTAGGGGGGGCTTCAATCAAAAGCGACAAAACAGGCAGTTACATTTCTGGCTGTCCCTCAAAGAAAATGCAATATGCTTTTGTACAAAGACAACCATGGAATGTGACATGTTATGATGTAGTAAGCGCATTGCATGAAGCTCTACACATTGTAAAGGCAAGAAGCCCAGAAATAACTATTTAATAAAATAAGAGACAAAACTTGCACCAGATTTGTTTTAAATCAATAGGTAATGTGTCCTAAGAAGAATAAAAGTAAAATGTGTTACAAAATGCAAACCATCATGTTTGTTTACTTATTTGAAAAAAACAAAGTGACTAAAAACAGGTTAAACTTGCAGCCACATTTGTTTACCAACAAATAATACAACCAGCACAAAAGAGGTCAATCGTGCGACCCAAGCTTCCAGCTAGTTTTCAGTCTGTTCACATGAGTGTTTTGTTTACACTGAATGTGGACCCGCATTTCAGAACTACATCTTATATAATAAGAAAAACTGCAAGTTAAGTCTTTCAAACTGCACTATTTAGTTAAGGATAACTGTTCTATGTTTGATACTTTGCAATGAATATATTTAATTACTAAAATGTTATCTGATCGAGCCTCTAGCTTTTAAATAAACTTTTAAAACATTTAAACAAGTTCATAAAGAGCTGGGTGAGAATTATTATCATCAGGACTGGCTGAAGGCTGACAGCACCGCAGAGCTGGGGGGGGGGGGGGGGGGGGGGTGGATCCTGAGGCAATAAATTTCACACATCCCGCCACTAAAAGCATCCACTGCAGCCATATGACTGAACACAAGACAAGCTGCTTCTGGGTGAACTGTTCTGACAGCCTCTGCGTGTGTTAAGGGTAAATCAGTGGAGTGAGGAGATCTTTAGTTTGTGCACGACACTCACCTTCATGTGGCGTTTTGATGGGATTCAAACAAAGTTCGAAGATATCCAGAAAGATCCCTTTCAGCTCCACTTTGTGAAGCGCAAAGTTACATCCATATCTGGGTTAAAAGTCCTGTCCTCTTTTCAAATGAGGCTTTTCTCTGCAGCGCACGATTCTGTGCAAAATCAAGTTTTTTTTCCTTCCTTTTTTCCCCCGGATTTCTAAATGAAAAGAGTAAAAGTGGAAATTTAAAAAAAACTTGCGGTAAAAGTTTCCTCGTCCTCAGCTTCTCTCGGTGCACCCTCTCTGCCTGTCTGCACGGACTCAGACACACACACGCCACACATGCACACACACTGCTGCTGGCTGCACTCTGGTAATAAGAGGGAACGATGTGGGGGCCGTGCAGTGGACGTCCGTCTCCAAAATCTGATTTATTCAACACGTGACTGGCTGCAACCTCCTGCTCCTCTCCTCTTTTCCTCTGCTGCTGCTGCTGCTGCTGGGATTACCTCAAGAAGGAGCCACAGCAAGGAGGCAGTCACAGGGTTACAGCTGAACTTTGGTGCCACCATCCTATCCAAAAAGGAACTGTTTAAAAAAAAACTTGAATTTTACTGAAAACGACCCAGAATTCCAACATCAAACGACACTTTGATGCATAAACTGTATAGGAGGTGTCAGAAGAACAGAGATCTAAAATGAAATGTTAAAGTTTCTGCAAGTGGCTCATCAGGGTCACCGTACACCTGTCTGTCACTCCTTGACAGAACACTAAAGAGAAAGACAGAAACAAACTGAAAATGAAAGGGCAATTAAATATCCATCCATTCATTATGTTTTTACCCACTTCTTCCTTTCAGAGTCACTGGTGCCCATTTCCAGCAGACACTATACGAGGGGCGGGGCTCACCCTGGGACAGGTTGCAAGTCCACAGGGCCACATGGTGACAAAGAAACAACTATTCGTACTCACCCTCAGGGACAATTTAGAATGACCAATTAGCCTAACATTCATGTGTTTGGTCGGTGGGAGGAAGTCAGTGTGCATGCACGAAGAGAACATTCAAACTACCCAGAAAGGTCACTGCCGGGATTCAAGTCAGCAACCTTCTTGGTGGGCGGCAACAGCTCCACCAACTGAGCCACCGTGCCAAAATTAAACATTAAAATGTTTATATTGAAGGTCTTGAAGTGTTTTTTCCAATAGTTGAAATGTAGGAATGCAGTCATTATAAACAAAGCACCTTGATCAGTACACACCCAATAAATCAAAATGTCAAACCTGTCAGACTTCATCATCCCAAACAGTTTTTCTATTGTTTGTCTTTGCCATTGGCTACAATACTATATTTGTGGAAGCTTGGGTGTTTAATCTTTGTATTCTGGGAGGATTTAAGAGGAAACCATGAGCACATAGCAGTGAGAGACAGTGGATGAAAGAAGTCAAAAATCAATACGTTTTGAAGTATAATTTGTCCATGCACCAAAGAAGTTGTGAGAGCAATAAAACTGTGTTCGCAAAAGTTTTCGATATTTTTTTCATGTAAAATATTAGGGTTAGTGACTTCAGCAGCTATCACATAAACCATTTGTGGGAAATCTCCAGACATCATAAAATGTAAACTACGACTGCGTAAAAACTGTAGAATAAAAATGCCAGTTCTGACATGGAAAGTCCAACTTTTTGTGACCTATTTAAACTTAGAATGTGTCTATGACTGCGTCAAAGCTAAAAAAAAAAAATGTCAGTTTGTTTTTCAAACAACACCATTGATTGCATTGTGATTTTTTTGTGCTATCTTTTGCTAATTTTGCCTTTGTTGTATGATTTACCGCTACCAAAACTCATAGAACACCATTCACAGTTGAGCTGCATATTTGGTGCAAAATTTACACATTTTATTTCACAGCTGCAAAGAAAAAAATGAGATTTTTTTTTAAAGGAAATGGAATAAGAATCTTCTTTTCCAAATGCATAGCACCACGAGAAGACCAAGCCATGACATGCAGTGCACAGCATTTCTCCCTCAGATGTTAGCAGCCAAGAAACCTCCTGCAGGGATTTTTTCATCTAAAGGTCTAGAAAAGAAACAAAGGTTGTAACTTTTCCTGCTATCTCGTGACTCTGGAAAGGAGCACACCCTGCATCGTTCATCAGCTCCCAAGAGGAGCCCCACTTTTTATCTTTCCCAGTGCTGGAGTCATAACCTTGTTTCTCTGTCTTGTCAATCACTGAAGGCTCTGTGATTGTTGGACCTGAGCAACTTTGCATTTAAGGCTGAAAAATGAGGGCATGACAAAAGACACCCTGCTGTGTCAGCATCTTATATGTAATGGAAAAGCTTAAATTCATGTTGTTGTTGCCCCTGAAATCTTTTAAAACAGTTATTGGTCAGTGTCTTTCTCATAACACATTTTTGCAGTTAGACCTTGTTTTCCCTTCCAGGCATCCCAATCAAGTCTCCCTCTTGCTCGATCTTCAGGTGGAATGAGGTCCACAGGTAGCAACTTCTCATTATTAATGTGACAGAAGACTGGGAAGCTCACACAGACTTGCAGGCAACAATCAGTGGAAGTAGATATCCTGCAGCTTTGCTTACAGTCAGACAATAATCATTATTGCTTCCTGCAATTGCATTGTGCATTCATGTTATATCCAGGCAGACAGCAAAACTTTAAATTTGTTAATTTCACTGTTTAGTGTGCCAAGAAGGGAAAGAGCAAACCAGAGAGTCAGGCAAATCAAATTAAATACATCACGTATATAAATAAAAAAACAAAGAGCTTCAATACTATTTCCTTATTACTTTGTTGTGCGGCTTCATATTTTCAGTTAACGTAACCTTATCAATCACATTTTATTTTATTAAATATTTAATTCCTTGTCACATAAAGATTAAGTTTTATAGTAGACTGCAAATCTTTTTTTAAAAGCAAAAATGTTTTACAAAAAAGCCACATGTTGACAAGATTATGTATTGTCAAATATCCTTCAGCTCCACATTCTGATCAGACAATGTGTTCTCTTGACAGAGCCGTCTCTGAGTGAAATATGATAAAAGATGAAAAGATGTTCTGAAATTAAAACGTCAAACTGATGTATGTGTTTATCATTTTAACAAACAGCAAAAAGCAGATTAGGTATTGTCCTGTGACGTGCAACGCAGCCAGCTTAGCTGAGTACCAACGCTAGCTTTGACTTTTTTTTCTTCACTGCTTCTGTGACTCATAGCAGGTCATGAATAAAAATCAAGGTGCGGTGATGAAGCATATATTTGCAATTTTACTTTGAGGTTTGATGCCGTCCACATCACAAGGTTGTGGTCTCAGTACTTTCTCTGTGATGCCTATTTTAGTGACATTTAAACATGAATTAGGAGGAAAACCGCGTAACTTGGCTCCTGAAGCCTTATTCAAAATGCATGGGAGGAAAAAGTAAACAGAACTAATTTAATCAAAAATAAAGGTGAGCAAGCTAATGCTGCAAAATAACTTGAAATAAAAAAAAATGAAAAACTAAAATATTATTGAAGCTAACATGTAAAAGAAAAGGTTCACCTACTTTTTAAATATATTTTAAGTTCTTCACAAGGTCATAATTTTGGTGGATGTGATTGAATGAAAAGCTAGAGGAGTACAAAGGAAGAACCTGTCTGTTTTATATTTTTATTTTAATGGAATGACATTTTGCTGTGTTTCTTTTGTTCACAGAGTTTTTTATCTTCTTTTTTTTAATTTGTTTGATATAAATCTACTATTTTTACACTGCTAACTTAGCAAAGTAAATGGATGTTTGCTAAAACCACTAAAGCATGATTTGTCTGTTTTTAGTTAATGACTCAGATGGATTTTCTTTAGATAACTGTTTGAAATGCCAGAAGTTAATAGGATCCTGGTTTCATATTACTAATCAACGGAACTGTAATGTGAAGCAAAATGTTTTGGGAGGTCATTGATTAGTGTGGAGTGAATTTAAGGTTTTGGAGGTTGGATTTGAACAAGAAGACTTCTACTGAGACCAAACATTAACCAGAATCACTTTCAGGCAATTTCCTCCAGATTGCTTCGCATTTGTGGAAATCCGAGCTTTGGTTTGGTGAATGTTAGCTTTAAAGGATGTAGATGGGACAAATACACAAGGCATTTGAAACACTTTGCATAAATCAAATTAGAAATCTGATATCAGTTTTACTGCATATTTCTGCACTGTGCACATTCACTGTATGCACATGTGACCTGCTCTGCATGCTTCCACAGCATGATCCTTTCAAGAGGATATTGGATATTAAGTGCACAGATGGTTTTTATTTGGGTAAGAAAGGTTCTGGGAGTGTGTAGCTCTTTATCTTCTTAATGTTAATCATGATGTAAAATAGATTTAATAGACTTTTGTTTGGAATGACTACTGCCTACTATCTCCTAAAACTGCTGCAGTGAGGGTTGAGGAAAATACATCTTAATGTTTTGAGACCCAAAACTGAACTTTGAAATTATGGTCCACACACTCTGTGGTCCTTGTATATGAACACATTAATCATGATGCAGTGTTGAAAGGACTATTCTGGTATGAACAAAATAAGATGGAAAGTAAAATATTTTAAAATAAATTTTAACTCCGATGTTTGATTTTGGAATAATATAGGGAACAATATTACTATAAGAAAATGGAGTTAAGACCAAAATCAAATCCAAAGAAATGTAATGTTATGTTTTGCTTTTTTTATATAACCAAAATCGTATTTATGAACCTCCACAGTTGCGTTCCACTGTATGTTTTCAAAAGATCACTTTTCAAAGCCAGTTTCCACTCTGTTGTTGCGGGGTTAGACCTACCTGCAATGCCACAAAGCTTTACTTTCTAAGTCATCTACAGATATTTCTATTTTTATTGTGCTTTCTGATGTCTTTCTATCCATTATGGATTCTTAACTGTTTTCTCTTTATTATGGAAATAAAGGGAAAATTTCCATTTCTATGACGAAGCAAGTTTTTCAAACATTTGTGTTTATTGTCTATATGGAAACTAGTTGTGAGGAAAAGTGTAATTTTTTTTTCATCCTCAACAGTTTATTCTCAAGAGGCAGGATTTATTTGTGCATTTATGTCACTACATGAATACAAAACAGGGCTTTAGTTGACAATTCGTACACAGCAAAAATGGGAGTGTTAATTCAACTCGCAGAGTGTTAAATTTAACACTTTTTCTGAGTTTATATAATTCTCACGGATTCTGAGTTAAAATTACACTTTGAAAAGTGTTAATATTTTAACACTTTAATAGTGTTAAATATTTGACACTATTGGTGTTATTTTATAACACTGTATAAAGTGCACTTTTAACTCAAAATGGTGTTACTCCTTTTCACTCCAAGTGTTAAATTTTTACTTTATATAGTGCTATTTTATGACAATAAAGTGCATTTTTAACACTAAAATTGTG